AGCGGAGCGTGGGCACGTCGGCCACCTCAGTCCTGGTCGGCTTCCTGGGGGTGGCGGAGCGGAGCGTGGGCACGTCGGCCACCTCAGTCCTGGTCTTGGACGCGCTGCTCGGGATCTTGGCGGGGGAGCCGCAGTCGCTCGCTCGCGTGGGTGACCGCTTGCAGAGCCTCGCCGGCGACCGGCTGGGAGACTCGGCGGCACTCTTCGATTCGCAGGGCTTGGCGGGCGCGGAGAAGTGGTTGGTTCCCCGGTCCAGCACCACTTTTTCACTGACGAATCTTCCAGTGTTGGGGTCTCGAACTCTTACCACGAGAGAGCCAGCGGAGAAATATTCAGAGGGAGGGAGATCTAGTTGCACAGGGTCAGCTGCTGGTGTTTTGTTGACAAATCTCCCTGTGTTATCCCGTATGCGGGGGGATTTCGATTCTAGTTTTACGTCCTGTTTGTCATTGAACTCCGCAGTGTGCTTTTCAGATGCATTGTCCAGGGTAATCGAGGTCAGGGCGCCCGCAACATCCCCGCGGACTGTTTCAGATGGATCTCGATCTCTTACAGGTGACTGCACCTGCGGTTTCTTTACGTCCATGGGGTTTTCACTGAGATTTCCAGCAGTTGTATCCTGGATGGAGGAGCCAGGGTCTGTCTCAATTCTTTTGTCTTTCTTGCAGCTAGTGTCACGCTGGTCACGCTCCTTGGCTGTAAAATCCACAGACTTGGATTCCATGTAAGCCTGCTTGAACAGGTAAGACAGATCACTAGGGCCAAGGATGCTCTTTTTAGAGGGCGAGCGCTTCCATTTACGGTACTTCTTGCTTAATTTTCTCGGCGAGCATTTTTTAATGTTTTCAGTGCTTGTCCAATTTGTGTCACGGGAGTCTTGTGGGGCCGGTAGCCATTTTTCTGGTGACTTTTGGACCGATCCTCTCAATGATTTATCCAAGTCTTTGACCTGCGAACTCTTTGAGGATGAACTTCTTTCACTGGAACTCTTTTTCGTAGAGGAGAAATTTTCACGGGAACTCTTTTCTGACAGCCTTTTTACGCAAGAGCTCCTTTTCGACGGACTCCTTTCACGAGAACTCGTTTTCGACGGACTTCTTTCCCGAGAACTCTTTTTCGAAGGACTTCTTTCTCGAGAACTCTTTTTCGAAGGACTTCTTTCTCGAGAACTCTTTTTCGATGGGCTTTTGTCTCGAGAACTCTTTTTCGAGGGGCTTTTGTCTCGAGAACTCTTTATTGATGGGCTTTCGTCTCGAGAACTCTTTTTTGATGGGCTACTTTCTCGGGAACTCTTTTTCGATGGGCTTTTGTCTCGAGAACTCTTTTTTGATGGGCTTTTGTCTCGAGAACTCTTTTTTGATGAGCTACTTTCTCGGGAACTCTTTTTCGACGGGCTTTGATCTCGAGAACTCTTTTTTGATGAGCTACTTTCTCGGAAACTCTTTTTCGATGGGCTTTGGTCCCGAGAACTCGTTTTTGGTGGGCTACTTCCTCGGGAACTCTTATTCGATGGGCTTTTGTTTTGAGAACTCTTTTTCGATGGGCTTCTTTCTCGAGAGCTATTTTTCGACGGACTTCCTTCTCGAGAACTCTTTTTCACCGGGCTTCTGTCTCGGGAACTCCTTTTTGACTGACTGCTTTCTCGGGAACTCTTTTTGAAGGAGGATGGACTTCTTTCTCGTGAGCTCTTTTTCAGGGATGAGAAACTTGTTTCTTGAGATCTGCTTTTATGGGAAGAGTGACTTCTTTTATGAGAACTCTTTTTTGACGGACTTCTTTCTCGATAATTATATTTCATGGAGGACGGACTTCTTTCTCGAGAGCTCTTTGTCAAGGAGAATAAACTTCTTTCTTGAGATCTGCTTTTCCGGGAGGAGGAACTTCTTTCATTAGAACTCTTTTTCAACGGACTTCCTCGAGAATTCTTTTTCGAGGAGGGACTTCTTTCCCGAGAACTCTTTGAATGACTTGTTTCTCGAGAACTCCTTTTCAAAGAAGATTGACTTCTCTCCCGAGACCGTTGGTGACTGGAGTCATGTCGATCTTTTTTACTATCTGGCGCTTCAGTTTTACTAGGGGGTTTGGAAACGCTGAATACTTTTTTGAGCGGACACGAGGGTGACACGTCTCTAACGGTGTCGTACTTCCTCGTGTCCGCGTCGACGTCTGCAGAGGATCGCCTGGAAACTTTCCTTGGTGGGCTGCTCGCGTCCTCGCACGGCCTCTTCTTGGCCGGGCTGGGGATGGGCGTTACGAGCGCTAGGCGCGCCGCGGCCGAAGAGCCAGGACGGTCTGCCAGCAGCTTGAATCTCTCCTCGACCTCCAATGGCGTCACCCGGACGACTGGCTGCTTCGGCTCCTCGTCTTGATAAATGCGGCGGACATGGCCGCTGCTCTCCTTGCAGAAGAACGAGTCCAGCGTCTTCTGCACCAGCTTGCGCGGGGGCGTGCCACTCCCAGTCTGTATGGGCGAGCTACGCCTCCTCTCGGCCTTGGCTGCTGGGGTTTTCTTTGGGTCTTTTTTCGCGCTTCTGAGGCCGGGCTTGATTATGGCTTTCGGCTTTAAGTCTCCTGAAGGGCTGGAGCGTCTCGGCAGCTTAGTAGGGTGTTCTGTCTTCTGGGCCTCTGTGCTGTTACTGCGATGAGCACTCGAAGTTCTTTCAGAACTAGCGGGAGTCCTACTGCTTTCACATCTTCCCCCAGATTTCTTTGAGCTTTTCGGGGCGCAGGACTTTGGTGTTTCTTCCATTGGTTTCTCTCTGTTGTCTCGCGCGTTAATGACTGCAACTATGCTTATGTCCGAGTCTTGACTAGATCTTCTTCGACGTGCCGCCCCAAAATTGGGTTTGTTCTGGTCATTTGAATTGATAGCTATGTCGGTGGAAGCGGTGCTGGTTTCCTGAGGCATACCACACTGTGGCCTTAGTGCATTTAATTCAATTGGTTTATTCGTTGAGACCGATTCAACACTTTGTCTTCTTGATTTATCAAGGCTTGGTGCGTCTAAATCAACACTCAGTCTTCTTGATTTATCTAGATTTGGTGCACCTAAATCAACACTCAGCCTTCTTGATTTATCTAGATTTGGTGCACCTAAATCAACACTCAGTCGTCTTGATTTATCTAGATTTGGTGCGCCTAAATCAACACTCAGTCTTCTTGATTTATCCAGAATCGTTGGTTTCAAGTCAGTACTGGGCCTCCTCGATTTGTCTTTGTTGCCAAAGAAAGTGTTTGCATCCAATGGAAAGCTGACAGGCACCGTACTACATTTTCCTTTACAGGGCGATTCAACTCTCCTTCCTCTAAGTTCCTTCACGATGACAGGGGCATCTGAAGTGGCTGATGTTTTTACTGGGCTCTTTCGTTCGTCACATTTTTCCGTTTCTGATTGGCATTTCGCGCGTCGGTAAAAAAGAGTCTCTATGTCAAGAGAGGTCGTCTTCTCTCTCGAGCCGTCAGTCCTGCCACCAGGCTGGGTCGTGAGGTCTAGAGCTGTTTCACTCCTAGACGGCAGCTGACTTCTGCAGGTATACAGCTGCTGACCCGGGTCGTATGGTGCGGACACACCGACAGGGCAGTCTTTCATCGGGGAGCCTCTCGCCATTCTCGTGCGCTGGACGAGGGCGGGACCCTGAGGCTCCGGAGGCAGCTCGGTGGCGAGCGGCTCGTCTACGCACATCAGCCGGCGCTGAGGCTTGAAGAGACGCCGTTCCAAGCGCGAGGACCACCTCCTCCTGGGATTGGATGGGACGGCAACGTCGCAGTCGTATGGTAATTGTTGGGCTGATCGGGGAAAGGACGGCGGCCCTTGGCTTCGCGCTCTCCGCCTGACGAAGTCGCGTCCTCCGCCCTCCGGCGTTCCATGGTAGGGAGTGCAGTTCGCGGACCTCGAGGGCTCGTGCCTCATGACCCAGCCGGTTCCGTTGGCGTGCTGGCCGTTCAATCGCCGGCTCCACCGCCGGAACTTTTTCTGAGCCGAATTGGAAAGTCGATCTCTGCGGGAGCCGTCGATCTCCATCACGCCACCAGTGCCGTTCCAGTTCATGGCCGGGAAGTACGGGTCCGACCTCATCGCCGTCGGCATCAGCCCGAGCTGAGCGAAGCGGGCGATCTTGTAGTCGTCATACTCGGGCGTTTGGCACTGGCGGGGGAACGCCATCGTTTCCTTTGCGGCAAGCCCTGCAGGAGAAGAGACAGATTTAATTAACCACACACCATACCAAAGAAGAACAGCGCGGGAGGAGTTATCAGAAGTCACGTAGATGAGTTGTTAAACAAGTAAAATCGGACTGAACAAAGACAGTATTTCGCTAATAACTTCCCAATCATCTATTACAACCGAAATATTAGTGTGTTTGGTCCACTTTCACATACGTTATTAACATTCTCTGAAGGCGGGTTCACGTCACGAGCCCAGCGAGCAATGATCAATTAGGGCACGTCACTTTGACGTCAACCAAACGGAATTTTGATGTAAAAATGTTCTAGTTTTGACGAAATTTTGGCCAATTCACGTCGGTGTGATGTGCCATTTTGATTGATGGTTGATCGCTGCCCAAGGAAAACGTGGTTCTCACGAAGACTTATGACTTACGAGGTCACGACTCTTGTACCGGGTGTAACTGAGAATGCGCAACAGTGTTGCGGGATTGCAGACCCGCCAGTGCTGCAGGGGCCATGGCGCCTTACGGGCTAACTGGGTAGGCAAACCCGCAACACTGTTGCGCATTCTCAGTTACACCCGGTACTTGTGACCTCACTGGTGACCTCGCAAGAGCAAGGAATCATGACCTCAGAGGTCACAATGAGGTCTTCGTGAGAAAAACGTTTTCCTTGGGTGGGGATCACCTCCTTATTTACGCTGAAAATGGTTTTCTTGCAAAACGCTACTTTCTATTACACACTATATTGTGGATGCATTCAGAAAGCTTGAGCGAACAAGTTCTTTACGCTCAACAAAACAAATGTCCATCTCCCATCCCTGCATGAGGAAAAGGCCACGGAAAATGCGCTTACGATTGGCTACACACTCTCTTTCGTGCAGATAGCTGCGGCGGTGATCACACCGAGAGTAGTGTTTCTATTTTCTTGAAGAAAAAAAAACAAAAGGCAATTGGCTTGTTTCAAAAAAATTCCATAGTTTCATTGTATACCCTGAAAACTTAACAGTGTTGATGTATGCTGATGTATCAGCAAACATCAATGATCACGTTTAGGTTTGTGGCTAATGTCTCCTTTCAGACAAATGTCATTGGAAAATGGATGGCATTTCCAGATTCCTCGTGAAAAGAACTTTTGTGTGATAGGGTTCACTGCCGAACTGGACCGCCTTCCGAAAATGTCGGGTAATGTTAACCAAGTTACACTGTTAAAAAGCCACACGGTAAAGGCCTACGGTATGCGCTGTAAATGCCTGGTCCGGCACCGTAATTTTTGGTTACGGTCCGTGTCATACAGAACAGACCGTAACTTGATGTTGGGGAAGTTAAATAAAGCTCTTAGCCAAAACAAGAAAGTGAACGGCCTGACCGAACGCTGAAAATACGGTACGGACCGTAGGCAAACCGTAACTGCCTACGGTATTTTTACAGTGTATGGTTACCCTATCACACAGTAGTAGCTCGTTTGAAAGCTCTCTTCACGAGGAATCTGTAAATTCCATCCACATTCCAATGATATCTATCTAAATAAATATTAGCCAAAATTATTAACGTAATCATTGATGAGTGCTGATATATAGTGTACGTGCCATGCACTGAAAATGCTAGTGTCAAATATCTTACTCTCATTGTCAGGAGAGCGAGATCAGTGCAGTGACACAAAAAATATCGTTCTCCTGAGAGAGATATATATGACTCTCACTCGATTTGAATCATAATTTGCGGCCCTCGCCCGATGAGACTGACGTTTCCAACTGCAACTGGGCGAGGTCAGGGAAATCTTACTCCTGCTGAGTGAGAATTCGGTGCATGTGACTCAAATAGAGCGCTCTGCAAATCAAACTGTAACTTGACAGTTTAAACTGCAAAACTAAAAGTTTCACTGTTTAAACTGCAAAACTAAAAATCTTAGTGTTTAAACAGTGAAACTGAAAAGTTCTACAGTTTAAACTGCAAAACTGTGTAGTTCAACAGTTTGGACTGTCAAACTAGCCCTATGCAGTTGTACAGTTTAAACTGTTTGACAACACAGTTTTGCAGTTTAAACAGTAGAACTTTTTAGTTTCGCAGTGTAAACTGTAAGACTTTTAGTTTTGCACTTAAAACTGTGGAACTTTTAGTTTTGCACTTTAAACTGTGGAACTTTTAGTTTTGCAGTGTAAACTGTCAAGTTATACAGCTAGATTTGCAGAGTGAGCTTTAAAGTCATCGTCTGATTGAGCGTCTTGTCTCACTCATTTTGAGCAAAACACCTTACCAAAAGGTTTTCAGTGTGTACGCTGATATTTAGCAATCATCAATGAACGCTGTTGTGTTTTCGGAGTAAAAATGTCCTCAAAGTAAAAAGTTTTCCTAGAATTTAGTCCCTTCTTTTCCTTGAGTTTCTTTTGGGCAAGTTTCTTAATTCAAGGTCAATTTCTTTAACGCCAGGCAATTTTGCCGTAAGGAAACTATTTTCTGGGTGCAGTCAGGGCGCAGAACGGACATCGTGATTTTCTTTAGCGTAAGAGAGCTTGCGTAAGGTATACCATCATGAACCCGCCTTGACCGATTGACAACTACAGTCTTCTGCCTTGCGTTCTTCGTCAGCTTGGCCGTAAAATGGCATCTTATGGCATATTTCTAGCTAGAGCTGGCACCATTCGCGAAGTCTGTCTAATGCTGTTCTTTTGTCTCATCAATTTAGTTACAAGCTGGAACCAATGTCCAATTAGACAAGCTTGGGTTTAATCAAGCACGTGTTGGGCAGCGCCGAGTTACGGACAGCCCCCCACAGGGATGCGCTGGCTAAGCTGAACCCTGAACGACAGATGTGGCTCGTGTGTTGAGCGGAGTGCGGCTGACTCAGGCAGAGAGCACGCCGCTCGGGGTTTGCGGACGGGCCCCCTCTCCCCCTTCTTGGTCGGTCCCTGCTCCCCAGTCGCCGGGCCGGGCGGCTTCCCGCGCTTGGGTCCCCGCCCCTCCCCAACCTCCCTCAACCTCCCGGCCGCCGGGCGAGGTTGCCCGCTCCCGCTCCTCCCTTCCCGTCCAGACGGGGACGGCGGCTCCATAACCGAGGGAGCGCGCGCGCTCTCTCACACACACGTACACACTCGCTCTGAACCCGAATAGATGCATGTTCCCAGATGGTCGTTGAAGAAATACCGAGGCACCCCCGAGATTTGAACCGCGGCGAAGATCGCCACGGTGGAAGCCTTGCTGAAGCTGTCTCCGCCCCGTCCTCAGATATGGGTTGTCACTTCGGCTGACACTGAGACACTGCGACCGCTGTCAGATAAAGACGTATAGGGCCGGCCTGGCCCGCGGTCGGTGGCTGCGGCTCGCCCCGCTAGACGCGGCCTGGCGCCGGCGCCGGCGCCCGCGAATACCCGAGACTTGGAACAAAGTACTCTCAATACCCCGCGCTTTCGACGCGCGCCGCCCGAGGTGCCCAGCTTTACGCCTGAGGCACAAAAACCTGCTCGCGTTCGGAAAGCCCCGCCGAGCCGCCCTTGGTTGCCAGAGGGTCGGCCGTCGGCCACGGCCTCAACCGCCGCTGAGCCGACGCTGACGCTGGCTGACGGGCTAACGCCCGGTCCTGCAGCGCTTCACCGAGGAGGCGAAGCAGGAGGCTGCCCGCACAGGCCTTGAGCACGGGCCGGGCCGGGCCCGGCAGCAGGTGATGGAACACTGTTCGGAGCCTACTTACGATGCGGGCGGTGAGCGGGTGAGCGGCACTCCCAGGAGCCGGGTGTGTTTATCCGTACATGGTGGGGTTTTCACTGGGCAATGTGACGCACAACAGACACACTCATGCACGCGCGCGTCCGGACCGCGGACGAGCTCTCCCGCGCCAACAAGGAGCAAGCGACGGTTCTCATGCCGGCCTCCTCTCGCGTCGACCACCGACATCCAACTGACACAACACCACCACACACACACGCGCGCGCGCGTGTGCCGGCACGCGGGAAGGGGAGGGGGGACCGGGGAGGACAGCGACTCGCAGACTTTGGGGAAAATTCACGCCATTCATTTTCCCGGGCTGTTGCTGCTAAAGTCGTTCGAGGTTTTGGTCGCCAACTTTTGTCCTTGCGTTCCTGGAAATGCGCGTCTGCAGTGTCGGCCTCGGGCCGGAGCCGGAGGGAGTCGATTGATCACATCACAGTGATATCGGGCGTCGTCTGCTACTTGCGAACGGGGTGGGAGAAGAGGGAGAAGGACAGACGCGCAGGATGGAGGGAGAAGGAGGGAGCCGAAGGCAGCCCGAACTGGACCCGAAGCGCACTCGAAGGACCCGCGCTCCACCGCGCACCCCCCCGCCCTCTCCACCCCTAGCACCCCACCCCTTTCACACCCCTAAGCATTCCAGCGGAAAAACAAATAACTCTCCGCGCAGTCTGCTTTCTGCTGGACGTGTTGCGGATGATACTTGTTTGAAAATTGAAGCTCTGCAACATGGTGGACTTCGACGTTGGAGTGATTCTTCCAGCAGCCGGCTCAGGAGAGAGACTGGGAGGTTCCACCCCCAAACAATACTGCAAAATATTGGTAAGTGGGAGTCATAGTTGACATTATCCAGTAGCCATTCCTCTTCATGCTGAACCTTCCGTTTAGAATCTACTTTGAACAGAAAGTCACAAGCTTTGCTGTATGATTGCAGTCTAAATCAAGTTGAATTTATTTTAGTCATGGGCACAACAGGTGTAAGAAATTAAGCGGCAGCATAATAGGACTTAACTTTTTTCCCCTCATACTTTGTCGTAAAAAATTACTTTATATCCAAACAATATTTAACAAACTCAAATTTTATTAGTTTCCAATATCATCCTCTTCCTTGTAACTATTTAGATGCCATATTTACGCAATTTTACTTGTCTTCCAGGACAAACCTCTCTTTCTTCATGCCTTGGAATCATTTGAAAATATTTCCTATGTACGCCACATTGTTTTAGTGGTTGATGATCCAGCAAATGTTGAAGCTCTTCTTCAAGAGTCCAACTGTCCCAAGGTATTGGTTGTTCAAGGAGAGACCACAAGACATCGATCCATTCGTGCTGGTCTTCAAGCACTATCAAAATTGGGTGTGTACAGTTGTTTTACCTTTATAACTGGTTTATCATAAATAATTTCCTCTTTACCTCAATTATTTTTTGCCATCTAGATTGTGAACTTCGCGTGGTCATTGTGCATGATGCTGTTCGGCCCATCGTTCCAAGTGATTTGGTTGAGCAGTTGGTAAAGGCAGCCAATGAAAATGGCGCAGCAGGCTCTGTATGTCCCTTAATATCAACAGTCCTTAGTGCAGAGAGTGACGGATCACTTCAGACTGCTCTTGACAGGAAGTCTCATCTAGCCAGTGAAACTCCACAAGCTTTCCAAATGAATGTTCTTCTGTCTTCTTACAACAAGGTAAGTTGATTGTTTTATCACTTGGATAACAGGGCTACTTTTTGGAAGTGTGCTTCATGCCATTATATAATTTCAGTGCACTGAAGAAGATTTGGATTGTGGTACAGAATGTCTTCAACTCGCACTTCTATATGCTGGTGTGCATGCCCGTCTGATTAAGGGCTCCCCAAATGATCTTTGGAAGGTTACCCTGCACCGTGACCTGCACATGGCAACTGAATGTCTAAGAGGTATGCCTTATTTCCCATCTTGAAGTTATCATTGTATTAATCCAATTATCTTAGAAGAAAGAAATCTTATTTTTTTATTTTAGAGCGCAGTAATTCAGTTTGTATAATGGCTACAGAGGATAGCGAACCAGCAAAGTTGCTTTCTGAAAGCCTTGCTTCACATGTCCAGAGAGTAGAAAGAGTTTTGACAAGCAATGAGGACAGTGTCAGTCGCTCCTCTGGACAGATATTCAATAACATTATATTTTTTCATGCAAGTCAAATAGACATGGAAAGCCCTCTATTAAATTTTTCCTCACTTTTTGACCTTGATAATCAGGTTTGTATTCACTAGACCTTTCTACCTACCCTAGTTTTAGAATTTAGATATGCACATTCTTCTACAAGAATATTTTTTTTATGATGAACATGCACTTCCAAGGAGGAAGGCAACGTCAGCATGATATCAAAATAACCTTGAAGGTCGATATTGATGAACATTTTGAGGTCTATGTGATGTCAAAATGGTCCCCAATATTGACCTTAAAGATCATTTTGACATTATTTTGATGTAATGCTGACTTTGCCTTCCTCCTTTAAATTTGGTTAACTTAAGATACAAGGTAAATTATTTTAAAGAATATAAACTTGTAAGCCACTCAAATTTCAATGTGTACATACAAAGATCAAAATAAAAGGGGTAAGGTAGAAAGGTTGATTTCACTTTGTTACAATTTATTTTTAAAATAAAAATAACTACAAAATTTTTACTGTGGTTTCTATTTTTGCGGCAGGGTCTCATTATCCACGTTCTAGAACAGGGTAATGCTGAGGAGCTTCAAACCATGAACGTATATGACCTACAGTTATCAGGACAACGAATGGCCCGTCAGTATCAAAAACTGAAGAAAGGAGTTGTTGTCATTCATTGTCTTGATAATGACACAGATTCTACCAATTTGGTGCGCCTTGTGACTTCACTTTTAAAAGCACATCCTTTTTCACTATCAGGACAAACGCTGTTCCTGTAAATGACTTACTTAAATCAATGTACTGTAGCAGATGAGTGAGATTAGTTGATTGAAGTAGTCTATGAAATTCAGTTTGGCAGCATTGGTGAATGTAGTGTGGAGCATTGCAGAATTTAAGACTCTAGTCTTCAGTTTATGTTTACAATCCTTGACCTTTTACAGTACTTTGGCCTTCTTTCTTTTCTTTTTC